ATGCTGATACTCAAAGTTTTCCATTTAAATACTTCTAGTGAGGTACTGTATTGAAAATAAGGTGGCAAGTAGCCACCTTATTCTGTAGCATTTTCTTGAGATGGAAGATAAGGTACTAGAAGGGTGCATCATCATGCCTGTATTTTGAGGTGGGTGGTTGATCTGTAACCTGAATTCCTTCATTTTTGAGGATATCATAATAGTAAACATGTGCCATCAGATCAGTTTTGACTTGTGGCAAGCCTTTTCAGGGTTTTCCAGGTAGAAAATACTTAGAAGTGGTTTACCATTCCCATCTTCTGGGGGCATCCTTGGACTGTGCAGCTTGCCCAAGACCACACAGGCTGTCTTTTCTCACAGGAGACGCAATGCCTAAACCACTGAGCTTTCCAGACAGCTTTTTTTCAACCACCTCACTTTTTTCCCCTTTGGGAATCAAGCAGCACTGCTGGAGAGAGGAAGGACTTAACTCTGCTCCTATCCTACCAATTCTGCTTGATATTGCTGAGACGGGAGCTAATTTGACCCCAACACCACTACGGTAGTCTTCAGCAGCACAATTTCACCGAGGGAGAGGCTTTAACCTCATTCGAGCAATTCTGCTCTGTATCAGAGAGATTGGGGCAAAGCTAAAGCTGCTGAATATGTGTGTGTATGTTTTTATAGGTGTGTGGTATGTATGTGTTTATATCCATGGGTATGCATGCACATGGGTGGAATACAGCCCCAGCAGAGTCCACAGTTCCCAATTTCCCCCCACCCAGATAGTCACCAATAGTTATCTTCCCCCTTGATGTAGCATCATATGATTTGTGGCCTCAGAATGAGCATCAGTTTCTAATCAAAGACTTGTGTCCTTGTCATATACACAACTCCCCTGAGCTGTAATCTCCTAGTACTGGGAGTACTGTATTCTTACATTAGTGCCAGGTTATTGTTATGTTGATGTAATTTTTTTCTCCAAGTTTAATTCAGGAGTCAGAGGGGGTAGAAAGAAATCTTGCCTGTTCAGAGAATAATTTGTGGATAACATCACTGTGTTAGTAATACTAGTAATTATTGCTAGACTCCTTTAAGAATGTGGTTTTTTTTAATGGGAGGGGGAGTAATGGAATCAATGAGGAAGTACCCATTAGAATTGTTCAGGGCAGGGGAAGATACAGCAGGTGTAAGCAGCCTCAGCATTATATAAGAGGGAAGGGCAACAGGGTTTTGGTTGCCCCTACACTGTCCCCAAACATAGTTTGTTTGAGTAGCCTTTCTGACAAGACCCCCGGGTTGAAAATTATGCTATTAAATGCTCGATGAGTGATCGGGAAGGGCAACAGGGTTTTGGTTGCCCCTGCGCTGTCCCCAAACTTAGTTTGTCTGAGTAGCCTTTCTGACAGGACCTCTGGGTTGAAAATTATGCTATTAAATGCTAGATGAGTGAACGGGAAAACAACAGCCACCCAGGACCTGACCCTGCATGAACATGCTGACCTCACTTGCATTACAAAGACTTGGTTGGATGAGGCTAGGGGTGTTAATGTCACCCAGCTTTGTCCTTCAGGTTTCTCTGTGCAACAACTAGCAGAGAGGTGGAGTAGCAGTGATCTATTGTGATTCTATCCCTCTCACTAGATGTCACATTCCCCTGTTCCCTGGGTTTGAATGTGTGCTTCTGAAAGTAGGAGCCCGGGACAAAATAGGTATTCTCCTGGTGTACTACCCGCCTTGATGCACCACTCCCTCTCTTCCTGAGCTCACTGAGCTGGTATCAGGGGTTGTGTTGGAGTCCCCTCAGCTTGTCATGCTGTGGGAGTTTAACATCCATGCCGAGACAACTCTGTCAGGGGTGTCTCAAGACTCCATGACAACCATGGGTCTGTCCCAAATGGTATCTGTCCCCACCCATGTCTCAGGCCACGCTTTAGACCTGGTCTTATGTACCAGTATAGATCAGGGGTCACCAAACTTTTGACTGTGAGGGCCACACTGGATATTTTCAACATCTTTGAGGGCCAAAGGAACAGGAATGTGTGTGTGCACGCACGGCCACATGCATACACACACCTGCCAGGCCCCTGCATGTACATGCAGGGGCACATGCAAACACCCCATGTGCTGAAGGGAACAGGCCATATAAAGGTGGGCCATAGTTTGGAGACCCTTGGTGTAGATGACGGTGAACTGGGTACAGATGAACTTTCTGTAACTCCATTGTCATGGAAAGACCATTATCTGGTGCAATTCGGACTCACTGGAACTCAGAGCCTTTGCAGGGTTGCAGGGTCAGACTAAGAAAATCTGCTTCAGAAGCTTGATGGATCCAGCTGGTTTTGTGGCTGCCCTTGGATAGTTTCCTGTCATCTTGGCAGGTGACTGTTGAATCTCTGGTTGATCTCTGGGATGCAGAAATGGCAAAAGCCATCAACATGATTGCTCCTAAATATCTCCTCCCTCAAAGCAGAGCCAAACTGCCCCCCTGGTTGATGGAGGTGAAAGGAGTGAGCCATAGATTTGAACAACAATGGTGGAAAACTCAGAGTAAATCTGCTTTAAAAAGAGCTAGGACCCATTGGAAAGCCTGTTCCAGTGGTAGCAGCATAGAAGTCATTCTTCTTTGCCACTATTGCATCTGCATGGAATTGGCCAGTGGAGCTTTTTCGAATGGTTAGCCCATTGGAAAGCCTGTTCCAATGGTAGCAGCATAGAAGTCATTCTTCTTTGCCACTATTTCATCTGCATGGAATTGGCCAGTGGAGTTTTTTTTTTTTTCCGAATGGTTAGGGCCTGATACATGTTAGCCCCCTGGCAAGGAATGCAGACTACACTTTAGCACGCTGTGAAAATTTTGCACAACACTTTGTAGGCAAAATTGCTCAGATCTGCTCTGACTTTGATGCTGTAGCTGTTTTCAGGTCCTGTGAATGAAACTGTTTCCCTTTGTAAATTGAAGAGTTTGTTGCTGCAGTCTGGTGATGTCAAGATCCTCGGGGAGGTGAGAGCTACCACGTGCCTTATGGATCCTTGCCCTTCCCTGCTGTAGCTGTTTTCAGGTCCTGTGAATGAAACTGTTTCCCTTTGTAAATTGAAGAGTTTGTTGCTGCAGTCTGGTGATATTGTCAAGATCCTCGGGGAGGTGAGGGCTACCACGTGCCTTCTGGATTCTTGCCCTTCCTGACTCATAAAAGCTGTCAGAAAGGAACTGGTTGATTGGGTAGGAGGAGTGGTGAATGCCTCCTTCCAACAGGGTAGGATGCCATCTTGCTTAAAAGAGGCAATAGTAAGACCATTGTTTAAACAGCCCTCTTTAGACCCCACAATACTGAATAATTACCGACTAGTGTCTAATATCCCATTCTTGAGGAAGGTACTAGAGCAGGTTATGGCCTCCCAGGTCCAGAGGTTCCTGGACAGAATATCTAGACCCATTTCAGTCTGGCTTCAGGCCTAGTTATGGAACAGAGATAGCTTTGGTCAGCTTGGTAGATGACCTACAATGGGAACTGGATAGGGGATATGTGTCCCTGTTGGTTTTGCTGGACCTCTCAGCAGCTTTCAGTACTATTGACCACAATACCCTCCTGTCCTGTCTCTCAGGAGTGGGACCTCTCTGGAATGGGACTTGGGGACACTGTTTTATGGTGACTTCAGTTCTTCATAGAGGAGAAAACTCAGAAGGTGGTGCTGTGGGACTCCTGTTCAAAATCTTGGCCACTGAATCAGGGCTCTCGTTTGTCTTCTATGTTATTTTACACCTACATGAAGCCACTGGGAGAGATTATTGGGAGTTTTGGAGTTTGGTGCCACCAGTGTGCTGATAACTCCCAACTCTGCCTCTCCTTGCCACGTAAATTTGAGGAAGCTTTTTCAGCTCTAGATCAATGTCTGGTATCATTAATGGACTGGAGAAATTGAAACCAGACAAGACAGAGGTGCTCCTGGGCAATTGAAAGGCAGATCAGTGAATAGGGATGCATTCAGTATTGGATGGGATTACACTCACATTGAAAAAACAGATGTGCAGCTTGGAGGTGCTCCTGGATTCATCCCTGAACCTGGATTCCCAAGTCCCAGCGGTGGCCAGAAGTGCATTTGCACAATTAGAACTAGTGTGCCAGCTATGTCAATTTTTCCATGAGATCTACAGGGATCACATAACTCCCTGCTATAGCAGCTCCACTGGCTGCTAATAGTTACCAGGCACGATTTAAAGTGTTGGTTTTAACCTATAAAGCCCTAAATGGCCTGGGTTCAAGCTATCTCAAAGACTGTATCTCCCATTATAAGCCACCCCAGGTGTTAAGACCATCAAGAGAGGCCTTTCTCTCGGTCCCACCACTTTTACAGGTGCATCTGATGCAGACACAGGAGAGAGCTCTGTTGCTGCTCCCACACTTTTGAACTCCCTCCCACGGGAGACCAGGCTGGCCCCATCTTTGCTGTTCAACCACAAGCAGGCAAAGGCCTTTCTCTTCAGGCAAGCCTTCTCTCAGTAACCAGCTACCTGAGTGGGGTTTTTAGATAGATAGTTATGCATTACTGTTTTGACTCAATTGTTAGTACTTCTTGTTTTCCATTTTTATGTTTTCCATTTCTCAGAGGGACATTTTTTCAATTTTTGTATACTTGTTGATCTCTTTCCATTTCTCAGAGGGACATTTTTTAAATTTTTGTATACTTGTTGATTTTCTTAATATTGCCTGTTAATTTATGTAAGATGCCTCTTTATTCATTGTTCCTAATTTGAAATATTTGCTTTAATGATGTTAACCACCATTGTGTACACATGTTTTCAACTTTAAATATTGTCTTTCATTGTTGTTAGCTGCCTTGGGTCCTTTTCAAGGAGAAAGGTGTGGAATGAATGAATGAATGAATGAATAAATAAATAAATAAATTTAGTTGTATAAATTTCTTTGAATATTTACACAACTGCAAAGAATTACAGCTTTTTACAGTTGCTTTTAGTCAACTCCTTAGATAATAAGAGTATTCTTTCCTTTCTCTTCAAGGATCCACCTGTGGCAGTGACCCTTGGACTTCGGATGGAAGAAATGATTTTTAATCTTGCAGATACACATTTATTTTTTAATGATTTGGAGGTAGGTGTCAATAGGATGTGTGTGAATGTACATGTCAGTACATAATACCTTGCTTTTTGCCCGTTCAGTAGTTACAAATGGAATCTTACGGGAACAGGTTTGTCGCATATATCTGCTTGCCAAATATCTGTGCTAATGTTGGACTTACAGGAATTAGAAATGATTGATGATGTGTAATATCTGATAATATTTAGTAATTGATGAGCATCTGCCACACCTATGCACTGTACTGAAAGAAAATATGCTTTATTGTCTTGTCTGTTAAACATTTATTTAAATTGTTTAGAACTGACCATAGTTACAAGTATGTAACTGAATTAAATTGTTTAGAACTGACCATAGTTACAGGTGAGTCCAAGTAACCTGAATAACCTTAATAATAATTCTGGTAGTGATTGTAGCATTTCAATTGTAGCTTTTCCCCTCAGTTAATGTATAATCTGATTTTAAAACCTTATTTTCTTCTTAGTCTCAAAATAACTCCACCTACTATTTGGAAAGTTAATATTTTGTTTCTGTTCCTCTTTATCTCAAGGCTTATTGAGCCATTATCTTAGCCAGCATGAGGGACAAGGGGGAAGCTATACCATCTCCCTTTATCCGTTTGAGTAGACAAGTCTGAAGAGGAGGTGTTCCTGTTCATGTCTAGGCTCTGTGTGTGACCAGAAACTTGAAAATCTGAGTCCTAACTCTCATTTAGAACCTGCAGAGAAGAGGGGGGACTTTTCTCTCCCCCCTTGTATTGAAAAAAATGAGAGGCTGGGCTAGCAGCTCTTTTGTGCACATATTGGTAATGCCAAATAGGATAAAAACTGAATGGGACTTCACTGACACAGTATACTATAGCTTCCAAGTTTAGCAAGAGCTTGTTAATTTTTTAAAAAGACAATGTTGATATCTTAACCTTAAGATTCCTCAAGCATTAGATATGAAGTGGTAAGCTCTGAAAATGGAAGAGTGCAATCATCACAGATAAATTTTGAAGACACCTTTGTACACATGAGTTCGTTGTAGCAGTCAATTGGAGGTACACTGGGTACCCAGGTTTCAAATGACTCAGAAAGGTACAATAAGTTCAAGAACAAAGACTTCTCCTAGGCAAAATTATACTTTTATGCACCTTTTTTAGTAAAATATGTTATTTGGGGTTTTTAAGAAAATCTTTTCAAAGAAATACAGTTGCTTAATTGTATATAGAAATTGGATTGATGAGTTCAAAAACATTTTTTATTTCTCACTGTAAATTACAAAAAAACCTATCCTACACCTTTTTTATTTTTTTGCTATCAAGAAAAAACATTTCTTGTGTTAGATAATCCATACCCATTTTACTGTTATTGAGCAGATAATAGTGAATGGGAATTCTTGTTCGTCCTCAAGACTGTAACTTCTAAGATCTGCTTCATAAGAGGATTTTTGTTTTTACTGCAGTGAGTCATTGTTTTTATTGGATAATGAAATTACTGACAATTCCAAAAGGATCATTCTTGAGGTCATCTCCAGGTTTTGTGATCCTTAGTAAAAATGTCAAGTTCTGAAATATTCTTGTAAGGAACTAGTTGCTTTGCAAGATGATTTAAATTAATGTTGCAGCAGTCAAAATCAGTTATTGTACATGAATTTATAAACACTTGGTAATGGAAAATGTATTTTATCTTTCCTAGTTTTGAACATGCACAGCCAGTGGCCCACTGTGACATGAGTATAGCCAGTTCTGTAGCTGTTTTGAAAGGTATTTTACCTTGAAATTAAAATCAGCAGAGAGCTTTACCCTATTTCAATTCCATCTCTGTTACGGTCAACAATAGTATCCTGATTTTATGCTGGCAGACTGTTGAGTTTCCACTGGGAGTGGGAGGGAATTAATTTAGGCTGATGGCTTAAAAGCACTTGGATTACATTCTAAAATAACTGTACAATTTTCACTTCGGTGAGATTTTGCAGGTCTAAGTACTTGTAGAATTTTAACATAAAATCTGGACATTTTTACTGGGATTTGTGGTAAACAATGGCATTTTTTGCAGATTCTGATATCTGATAAAAAGGGCTATAATTGAATTGTAAGTAATTTCAGAGAAGTATATGTCTGCAGCACAAGAATGTTATCTGATGTTTTTGTTTTAATGTTCATCCATTCATAACAGGAAGTTCAGGTTGAAGTAATTTATGGAAAAAGTGAGCCATTGAGGAGGGAAAGCTGCCTTTTTTCTCATCATATGCAACTAGTGTAAATCATTCTTTCAAAATTAGCCAAAATAGGTTAAAAACCAATACTTAGGTTAAAAACCAATACTAATCATGCCTAAAGTAGACCCAAGGAATCAAGTGCTTTCCATAGTTGTGATTTTAGAAGAGGAATCTGTTGATTAATGGCCAGCACATGCATAATTTGCATTGATTCAGTAGGTCTACTCTTCTGCCCTGCTTTACTCTAATTGGATGTACCAGTTGGATTCATAACCTTGGTATTTTTCATCCATACCATATATTCCTAGACAGTGGAGAAAAGCAAGCATGTGAGAAAAGAGAAGATTAATTCATTGCCATATTCTTGTATATAGCTAAGTTAAAAAATGGGTTCAAGTTAAAGGAAGCCAGATACCAGTTGAATATCAGGAAAAACCTCCTAACTGTTAGAGCAGTAAAACAGTAGAACCAGTTACCTCAGGAGTGGGTGAGTGTTCCAGCACTGGAGGCATTCAAGAAAAACTTAGATAATCACCTGGCAGATATGCTTTGATTGTATTCCTGCACTGAGCAGGGGGTTGTACTTGATGGCCTTGTAGGCCCCTTCCAACTTCACTTTTCTATAATTCTATGAAAAGAAGCAGAATCATAATAGACCTTTTGTTCTGGAGGGAAAAGCTTTTCTTCCAAGAACAGTATATCATAAAGCCACTTCAAAATGTTCAGGCCTTTGTGGCATCACAAGTCAATGTATGCAATTTTCCTCCTTCTCCTGATAAAGCCACTTCAAAATGTTCAGGCCTTTATGGCATCACAAGTCAATGTATGCAGTTTTCCTCCTCAAACTCGTGTAACTCTATCCTACTATGTTACAAAAAAGATAGTGATAGCATGCTGTAGGTGCTGTGCAGAACTTCTTAAAAAATTAACCATTGATGTAGCCAACCGTAAACTTGAATGTCAGGTATAAAAAAGAATAATGGGTAGGGAAAAATGCAACAGTGGGTGAGAAAAAATGAAGTAAGAGCTCCATACAGGTGTATCAGGCATGATAATGGATGCCTAGAATCATGATAAGCATTTAGTTATGAGCAAAAACCACTGTGGCTACCCAGCTGAATGATAGTGAATGACTTAAAAAAGTAGGGAGTTTGCCAAATAAAGTAGAAAAACAATATATCTGACATAAATACTCCTAGTGCAAGCATACTCCTTTTCCTAGACAAAGTTTAAGTATAGATGTGAGCTTAGGAATGGATTATAGCTGCATGGTATTGAACAGAACCAGGGAAAGAAGTAAGTGGGTCAAGGAAAAGGAACTGGCAGATTATTTTGGGACATGGAGGAATCAATATCAAAGGAAGAGAAACTGGACAGTAGCAATTTGTCAGGAAGATGAGCTGGTCACCTGACCGTAATAAATAAATTCATTCATTCAATTTGTCAGGAAGTGAGGAGGCTAAGGGAACCCAATCTTCCTGCCTATGTTCAGGAGCTCAGTATTTCAACACATTTCAATACTTGAGGCATCTTACATTTGATGAACTGTTGAGCTTTGACTAAGAAGAAAGCTTCCCATGGAGCTCTTTAGACCTGGAAACTACACTAAGGGAAATCAGTTGTGATGATGTTTCTGTGTAGAGACCAGTGCCTTTGTAACAACAGAAGAAGAACTGAGATGGTAGAGCCTGCAAGGAGAACCAGTCTGTTTTTTGCTTTTTTGCAGTCTTTAGTTTCACTTTATCAATAGAGCTGACCTTTCATGACTTTTCTTGACTTTTTAAAGTTCCCTTTCTGTTCAGTTGGGTACAGGGAGTTTTCAGTTAGAAAAAATTATATATTGATCTTGCAAGTACTCCTGCGAGACACCTGAACATTGTTTGAAGGCATGTAATTGGTTGGTAATTACTGGATTCATTGCCCTGTTGTTATCCAGTCTTCAGTTGTGGAATTTTGAAGTAAATGATTGAATTGTACTGCTATATGTTGATGGAGACTTGTTAAATGCTTTAACCAACATCTATGCAGCTCATCTGGACCAGATGTGCTACAGTTTTTCACAGCCTTCACTTGCCTCTTAATCATTTCAGTTGTTATTACAATATCATCCATATGTTTGCCTTGAGTTTCTTTACAAAAGTCTTTAATCCATGGGGCATTTTTGTTATGTCCAGCTGGGCTTTCCCAAATTTCTTTCCAAAATTTTAGAGTATCATCATTACATGGACCTGATTTTTTTTGCTCTGCATATAATA